AATAGTTTTTACCTTTTCTCAAAAAAAAATTTTAAAAGTAAAGTCAGAATTGCAAGATAAATGAGTAAGATGGGAAGGTGGTGGTGGTGGTGGTGGTGGTAGTAGTGGTAGTGGTGCTCCTATAGGTAATGCTGGCTTAGGTGATGACAGTGGACCTAGTGAAGGATTTGGTGGTGGAGGTAGTGGTGGTCACATATCAATGTCCACATGTCACAAATCAAATAAAACTGATCATAGATCACTAATTTATGTTCACGGGTCATAGGTCACAATTTATGGTTACATGTCATATTGTATAGATCACGGATCAATTTCAACATGTCACAGATCAAAATTATCTGGTCATAGATCATGTCACATATCTTTGTGCACTGATAATAGGTCACAGTTTCAAGTTCACATATCATATGTCATATGTCTTTGTTCATGTAGCGCTAGGCGCTGCCTAATAAATCCAATTTCTGTTTTCAGCTTATTTAGCATCTTTCTTTGCTCTCTTTACATATTCCAGGTCCTTTTCTTCTCGGTTCATATGATCATCACTCTTTTGTTCATTCAAGATCCACGAAAGCCTTTTATTACCATGTCACCTAACCTATAATAAAACATGAAAACACACATCAAAACGTTTTAAAACTCTTAAAGATAAACAAAATATCAAGTTTAATTAGTATTTAAAGCATGAGTGAAATACACTCGTTAGTATCGTGAATATATATGTTTTTTGTGCTCTTGTTACTCTAAATTGGTATTTGTAATTTTCATCAACACACTAGAGTACAAACATGGCTCAACTTTCGATGTGGAACACCATTACTTTCACAATCTAATCGCTCGTCTACTTCTACCAATCCATATTCAGTTGACAATGGGATAACATCAACATGAAGAGGGTGCACTACAAGTTTGTCATATTTTCTTATGAATGACATAATAACACATAATAGAAATACGTTTGTAATCTTATGAGTGCCATTTGTTTATAAGCCTAATAGTGTATAGATACTACTTTCTTCATTTGGTCAAACCTTAACTCGATATGTGTTCTATCTATTAGCACTACCTATCTACACCCCATTAGCAGAAAGAGGTCCATAGTTCCATCATCGTATGTAATAAACACATTACCATAGTTTATACATTCAACAACAATGAAACAAAATTTATTATTATTCGTGGATCGATAGTAACATAAATTGAACAATATCAATAAATTAATAAGATTATAATGTTATTGCATATGATAACATCCATATCAATATAATCACAAAGAAACTAATGCTTGTAATATAAAAACAATCCATTGCATTAATTCTATCATACATTGCATATTCGAATTTGGTACATATTGCATAATGTTATGTATAGTCAAAAAAATCAGTCATGTGTCTATTCCGATACAGGAAATTAGTTCATATAGCATCCATACCTAATTGAAGAAAATTTACATTGTTGTTATATCATAATCATTCATAATCTCAGATAGCATACCTATCATCTGAAAACAACATTAGATCTTTAAATTTACTTGCATCACTCGTATCATTACATTACACGATCTATAACATAGATTGCATAACATCGTTTATAACATGATTTGATTAACATTATACATAGTTGAAGTCACTAATGTTACACTTACGTCAAAAAACAGCATAGTTACATATGTTGCATTCACTTTAAAGTTTTCCCGATTAACAAAACCAGATTGTTATATGAAATGGTTAATTACAGAGGACAAAAATGTTATATGTAACACTTCACATTTTCAAATTTATATTTTTCAACGTCCATGATCTAAAATATCGCTAAAGCCTATACATTTACAAAAAAAGCTAATATTAGTGTTTAGTTACTCATCCACCATACCATTTAACATGCATTCTGTTATATAATATATCCCAACACCTATAGCTAATGTACATGCAATCATGTTAATAAAACAGACCCAGAAAGATGAAATGAAACCTATTACGTGTTATGAATGTGTTATATGGAATTGATTCTTAAATATGTAAATAACATGATACATTTATGAAATCTCACCTTCAAATTGATAGAATCATCTTTCAATCCGAGCTTTTATCACATATATCATGTCCCAAATCCCCAGTCTATATGGCCAATAACAATTTTGGTGATGGCATTTTCTCGTATGGTTCATATAAACAGAATTCAAATCCTAAACGGCGTTCAACAATAACGTAATTTTAGGAATTCCTATATCCGTTGACCTCATTTTTTGTACGGTTGACTTAGACAACAAATACCAAGCCCACTCACGTTCTTTCAAGTTAATTCCAACACATGTGGGACGATTGTATATCGACAATAAATTGGGTATGAACGTGGAAGAAGCTTTATAACATGAGACGAAGATGTTCGGGCTCCGACGAAAGATATGGGATAACTTACATGATAATGAGCGATAAATTAAGAACCAAACTCACAATCAAGATTGTACTTCAAACACTAAAGACCCTAAATTAATCGGAAAAAAAAAAAAGAATATATATAATTTGTAGTCCAACTTTTTCATTACCCCTAAATGGCATAAATAGGGGGATATTTATAATATTACATGTGCAATAGTAATCGTTGGATGAGAGGACACGTGGTTTTATCTCTTCAACTGAAGTATCACATTTTAGGTATCAATTTTGACTCCACTAGCTTGGAGCGCATTAAATATCCCAAAAAGGAGGTGGCCACCTCATACCCTATGCTGACAAGATTAACCTTTTTACTCATTACAATTGTTCAATCAATCATTTTAAAGAGATTTCATAAATTTAAATTCTTCAAACGTAGAACTTCACCAGCCAGAGTTGAGCCTCAAATTTTTCTTCGTTGGACTTCGCCACTTCAGCAAAGCAACTTCATTTTGGCCTCAAGCTTATCTTTTAACATTTGGACTTCGCGGGTCGAATGATCTGGACTCTAATATACCTTACTCCAAGTTAGATGCCACATAGCTTCGGCAGAAGGTGTTTCGATGGGTCAGCTGAGCCAAATGGGAGCCTAGGTGACGAGGCATAGCAATAGTCTCCAAGTCCATGTATGATCATTCATGCAATGCTATCTGGAGCCAAATTTCTTTAAAGCACACTTCATGTCACGGTTAGGTTTTTTACCAACACAATAGTCCCCCAAGTCAAAGTATAGATATTGATATCATAGTTGGAGTTCGAAGTTATACCTGATTCTTGTGTCCTAATGTAATACTGAAACATTGAAATTTATTTGTTGAGCCGAAGCAAGGACATTTGCCGAAGTATAAATACTGAAAAGCCTAAGCTCTAATTTTAAAAATAGCTGAAATTTACGTGTTGAGCCGAGGTAGCGAGGTGTTGAACTACTGAGATTCTTATTTTGTAAATAGCTGAACTTTCATTTTTTGAACCAAAGCAGTGAAGTTCTGAATTACTGAGGCTTTTGTTTTGTTGATAGATGAAATTCTCTTTCTATTTACCCGAAGTAGTGGAATGCTGAATTGTTGAGGCTCTTGTTTTGTTGTCAATAAACTATGCATTTGAGAATCTTGTCAATGATTTGATTTTTTGTATATTACCAAGGAAAGACAACTTAGGAATTTCGACTTCCAATACACATACATCAATTACATATTGAATGCGCAATGATGACCACGCTGCTGTAAGTTCAGATTTACACACAGCAATAGTGGACTACTAATTGATGGCTTTGAAAGGTAAATTTTGAGGCCCTCAGTTTGATATAGAATGCTTAAGTTTTAACATAATCTTTACTTGTTGCATATGATTTTGGGAAGAAAAAGTACCCCACCCTGATATGGCTTCAATATTAAGAACCACATCTACATTGAACGCCAGGGCTTTGAAGCCCTCCTCTAGGAGAGCTAAGTAAGTCAGGGAGAAACTGGTGTGCCACAGCAAAGAGCATGCTAAGAGAGCGAGGACGAAGGGGTCCAGAGGGTCGACAAGGGCAAAGGAAAAATGGAGGAGCCTCAGAAGAAGAAGAAATTGTCCCATAATACCAGTTTAGCTTTTGGGAAGAGCACAACCACTATCCCAATGCCCAGCAGATCCTGCATTCTCCTTCAAAGTTGATGTAGCCTTCATTCAATGCGGCCAATGCCCAGAAGGTTAAAGAGGTCGGTGAGGCTGCTGGTGTGCTGTCGTAGGCACCCAAAAACAGTCCTTAAACCTCTAAAACTAATGTAGTAGTGGAAGTAAGGGTCGATCCCACGAATAATGTGCAATTCAACAATTTATGCTTCGTATAACGATTGGGGGGTTTTGTTTATAACTAAATCAATCTTATAACAAATAACAATGTAAATTAATTAGTTGTATTAAATCAATGAAAG